TTTATTTGTTTTAGTAATTTTTCATGTTTGTTCAATTAATTAGTACACTTTGCTTTAGCTTTAATCTTTTGATAGCACATTTTGTTGATTAAATAGTCTTTTAATTTAATGCATTTCTTTTAATAAATGGATATATTTTCCAATTTATTGTTATGTTATATACATCAAATAAAAATTGTCACTAGTTTGATGTGTGGCTAATATCACAAATTATTTATTAAAAAAAAAATATTGGGTTTTTTTCTTTTTTTTTTTTGGGGGGGCACAACATTCTATAAATTATTTTCAGGACAGTAGGTACTGAGTTCTTGACAATAGGTATTGAGTTCTTATGACAATGATGTATGTGGCTATATAACTATATTTTATGTTACAAAAGATATTGTGTTCCAGTGACACTAATCACTTGTAACTATAGGATTACATTATGTGACTACAAAATCTAGTTCTAGTGACAGTAACAATATGTGACAACAACAAAGAGTTTTTAGTGACTATTAAGACATTATTATGACAATAATATTAGTGACTAAATGCAAATGCAGTGATAGAAATTATTCGTTACTATACTATCAATTTATAGTTACGAGCAATGTATGTGACAATTGGATTTTAGCGACAAGACTTAATGTGACTAAAATTTTGAATCTAGTGGTGATTATGGTAATCATCCCTGATCTTTTAGTCATAGTATTTACATCCACGACTTAGTAAAATTTTATATTGTTGTCACAAAATTATAATGTGATAAGGTTCAAACACCTAGTAACGATTTATATTGTTGTCACAAAATTATATTGTGATAAGATTCAAACATATAGCGATAAACATTATCGCCACTAATAATGATTATTAACCTATGTACCTCTCTCCCCCCCTTGTCCAAAACATCGTCCTCGACAATCCAAGGTCATTCTTTTTTTTCCTTCTTCCCTTCCAATCTCTTGGCAATACTTTTCCTCTCTAACGAGCAATCTACAGCCATCAATCTCTCTTCCTCATCACAAAGTAAGATCACATATAACGAATTATTATTCAAATCTTTAAGAGCCGCGACTTCTGTTTGCAATTAGACTAAAATCTTAGGACTCAGCTCCGCAACCAACTAGAAAAAACTAATGATAATTTTCTTTCATCTGCTTCTACGAAAGCAGTTACTGAAAGCCCTCCCAAACTAAAATAATGAAGTTGTGAACGAAAATATGATACATCACTTGCTAAAGAAGAGGTATCTGTTAGAGGGAGGCAATTTTGTGATATAAGCTAAAATCCAGACATAAAAATCAAAGAATGTGCTCAAGCTACATTTGTCTCGAAACAACTAACCAAACTGTAGATGTCAAAAGATAAAGCTGAATTTAAGAAAACAAAAAGGCTCGTCGTCCTGGTTAGTCGAAAATTGATTACATTTAAAAATCCTACAGTTAAAATCCTATATGTGAAAAATACACTAATTTGAAAGAGCAAAGAAAAAAAAACAACTGATCGTTGAAAATCATATTGTCCTCGCAATGTATGCATAACATTGAGCAACCTCAGGCAGCAGAATTGTCGACCGGCCCATTAGGCCTGGGCCCACCACGGCCTCTTCCACGAGTCCCCCTTCCACGTCCACGACCTGCAAAACAAAGAGTAAAAGTCAACGAAACCCAAAGGGCACATCTTAGGAAACCAGCAATTGGCCCAAAGACAGCTCTTAAGATCAAGTTAAGCACTAGGATTCATGCTGACAGTACCAACTGAATGAAATCAAGATCAGCTTGAAAAAATTATCAACCATACTGATGGTTTCTTATGCAAAGAAAAACCTGTCATCAAGAGCCAGACAAACTCCACGGTTTCTCTCCAAAAAGAGGAAAAAAAAAAAATGACAATATTGCCTTACTTAAGAGTATCTAAAATAATAAAGCTAAATGGGTGCTGAAAACTATTATGCCCAAAAAACAGAAGTAAAATACTTTTTGAAGAAACGGCTCATCCGGACGTGTAAAAAGTATGTGCTCTTACGAACTGTGCCTCGGGCAAAGACCTAGGGGTACATCATGAAGTTATATACACACGAGCAAATTACCTCTAGGTGCATGTTGATTGTACCCCTCAGTACTATCAGGCTGAACATCAAATCGGGGACCACCATAGTATCCACCACGACCACGGCCACGCCCATGCGGATTTCGGCCTCTGCCTCGTCCCCTGCCCCTCCGCTCATAGCCTCCATCCTCAAACTCACCAGACGAAACTCCATTTCCTATAATGAAACACAGCACTCACATTCATGTTCATGTTTTTGCTCAAGAAACTCTAGCACAGTTGACATTTTAAATAATTTGAATTGAAAGAAGGATATTTGCATACCGGAAGGGGGTCTAGGCCTACCACCCCTTCCCCTGCCGCCTCGGCCTCTTCCTCGAGCGACGGGCGAACCCTCTGAAAGTTTGGAATAAATGAAAGTCAAATCATGTCTTGCACGATTATATGAAGAAAATGGATAAAAAAATAACAAACAAACATGAAACAACCTCCATCATAGTCGGGTTCGACGGGCACCTTCACTTGGTCCGCTGGTATCGGAGGTTGGTACCTGTGTCACATGACAGCAAAAAATAAAAAAAAAATAAAAAAAAAATCAATAATAAATTACAGTGATAGTATAGAATATGGCACGCTCCATATCCACATGTCAAGCACATTACAACACAAGAAATTTGCCAAGTAAAAGATATTGCTCCAGGTATTTTTTGTGATTGCCACAGAAAAAGATTTGTACTCCGTAAACAGATAACAAATGGACAACTCACCCAATGTTTGTCTTATCCAAATCCTTTTTCGAGAGGGTAATCGTGACCGTTGAAACTTTCCTCGTTGTTTCCAGACTGTTACAACAGACAAGAAATGTTACAAGGGTCATTAAACTTTGCCACACTAAAATAACCTCAAGACAGAATTTCATCTAAAATTTTCACTGTCTGAATGCCCTTACGTTTGGAGGCCTTCCTCCAGAGGTTCCCATGTATCAGTTATATCAGTAGATTGGATTGCTGTAATTTGGTGAAGACCAACAATTCTCCTCTTCAAATGACGAAAAATACACATATTAGATCCTCAGATACCCTAGCTATAAGTTAGATATCAGCACCGAGGGGAAAAAGTTAATACAAATATATAAAGAAAAAGGAAACCTTGATTAACTCCACAATTGTTACAGTCTTGTTGATGGCTCGGCCCATTGCCTTGAATACTATTTCATCTGAACCCTTTTCCTACAATATCACATGATCAAGATACCAAATCCTCTAGTATATATATTCATTGCGAAAAAAATAATCGATTCGTTTACATCCTTTCCTTATTAGCAATTAAAATAAAAAATGGGGAATGGGAATATACTTTTGCCCATAATTTCAGAATCACAACACTCCAACAGCACATATAGTTCTAAACATTTCAATAACAAACACAGGCAAGAAGCAAAAACACCATAAATTCCAGAAAAAAAAGCTCCAATCAGAACGAAACCGAAGTACCACACTACCACCACAGCGCATACCACAATTGAGAAACTCAATTTAATCAAACCAGTACTGCTCAAACCATGAAACTCCTCACAAAAATATGCAAAAAAAAAGCAGTTCGTAATCAACCAACAATCTGTTCTCATAAACATGCATTGTCTTAACAAATATGCATATTTTCATTAGAATTTGGGTACGCAGAATATAAACATAAAATTACCTGAAGCAGAGTCATGGCATAAGTGATGTAGCTCCGCATCCTGCCTTGGCTTGTAATCCGAATCTCGTTCGCACCAATCTGCGAGTCAGCCCTGGGCTTCTCCACCTTCTGGTACCGATCCATGCTCGATAGAAATTCTTTAAAAACAAACAAATTTAAATCGGTTAAACAAGAAAGGGAAAAGCTCAAACACCACAGATGGTGAGCAGATCCGCCATTGATGGATTTGAAAAAGCAGACGAATAACTAAATTACGATGCAATTTTTTTGTCACCTGAGGCGCGTTGGGAAAGATAAGGTTACGGCTCCGAATTCGTTTGTTTGTTTCAGTTACGGCTCTGATAGTTTGAAGCAACTCCAAGAATGTGTATATATATATATATAAACCCGGTCGGTCCAATAACAAAGGCGGTGCCCTAGTTCTTTTTGCAACCAAGTCGTTTTTTGTTTTCAATGTTAGCAACTAAATATTCTACTTTTATTATTTACTCCTTTTTTTTTTAATGTCATTCTAGTTTTATCAATTATTTACTAAATAAATGTCGTTTAGAATCTTTTGTACATATTTTCCATTATTACCATCATTTAGCTAATAAATGCATTACGTCTTTTTATATTCACTCTTCACTTTTTTCTCAAAATATTCATCTATATCTTCATTAAATAAGGGTATTATTGACTAAAAAAAATATTCTTAATTAATGTGCAACTTCTCAAAACGATATCTATTAAAAATAGGAGGTAGTATATTGTAAATTTCTCTCCAAACTTTTTTCCGGCCAATTTCGAGATGACATTTCCGACTAACTAACATGATTATGTTGCTTTTACGTGTTAAAACAATAATAAGTCTCAAACTTTCACCTCATGAAAAAACGATACCATCTCATGTATCTTTAAATTCACTGATTTTCTTGTAAATCATCGTTTACTACGAAACTCCGATTTCAACTTTTGAAAAATTTGACAAAATCAAATCTAAGTTCCGGGCTGGTTCTTATGTCATGGAAATTTGAGAGTTATTGTTTAACACATAAAAACCACATAAGCATTTGGGTCAGACATGTCAGCTAGGAGTTGGTCGAAAAAGGGAATTTGGAGGGATATTGAGTATTTAGTTTCAACATTAAAAAACTGAATATTATTATATGCAATTCCACCAAAAAAATCAAGATTTTATTAGCAATTGTGTCTCATATATAACCATAACGAGAATTCAACTATCTCATACCGTAACAAACCAAAATAAAAATATAATATTTATTGTGCTATGTTATTTGATTTTATGTCATTTCAATCTCAAAGTACTGCAATGTTTGATAATATTTAATAATATATAGCTATAGTTAAATATTTAATAATAATACATAGCTCTAGTTATATTATTGTTCTTGTTCTTTTCTTACTTTTAGTCTATCTTATAGTCAAGATCGTGTAAAAAACTGTAATATTATTTTTAAAAATCATATATGTTGTACCTCCACTTTTTCGGGTTGGTCCATCTACTATCTAGGCCCAATTTGTCCCTGTCTTTTATTGGGCTTACCCAACTTCGGCCCAAAGTCTTATACGCAAAACTAGAAAGTATACGTTGGCCTATAAATGTTGTGCGGTTCTTTCCAACTTAAATGGTGATCCGTCAATCGATTCTAAATGGCGATCTCGCAATCCAATGTTAACTGGAACTAGCAAAGCGATTGCCCAATCAATCTCGCCGTCAATAGTTGCATCTTTCATGAATATACGTGTCAGAAAGCCATGCCCTTAGTTGGAAAATGACAATCATTGTCTTTTCACTTTATTTTTGTATATATTCCGCATTAAATGTACTCAAAAGACACGCGTTCAAGAATATGCAAACCATTACACACTTCTTCTTTTTTTTTTTTTTTNNNTTTTTTTACTACGACTCAGTGTCAATCTCTTGTCTATAAGGCGATCTCTTACTCTGAGCAAATTTACCCGTTGTGTACATAAACTAGTTTGGTAACATTTAGTTATCAATAATTGGTGCTAGAAGGAGGTTCCAATCAGGAATTTTGGTGAATCTTTCAATACTCAATTGAGTATAACAAGTTTTAGGGTAAGTAAATAGCCATGTTATCCTCAAGCAACCCCAACAACAGTTAGAACAACGAGGGTAATTCTCCCCGGATAATGATATCATCTAAAATTTTTAAACTCCCGCCTTTGTCAAGGGTATTACCAACCTTTTTGCACAAATGCTCCAAAACATTCCATATAATAATCCACCACAAAATCCCAGTCATGAAAATCCCCCTTAGCCACTCGCCCCGACGTCTTAAGATGATCATTCTCATGGCCTTCAACAATCCCAATTAAAAGAATGCAGAAGGTCGATCCTCCAAAAAACCATGAAAGTATGGTAAAAGTCAGGTCCGTTTAGGGGCACTAACCACATATCGGTGTTCAATTGATTGGGCAACAATCATAAACAAGATGATCTCCGATAGAATTTCACCAAAATATCATTCTAATAAAAAGTTAGAGAAGATCGCCTTGCTAAAGCAATGAATAGTCGAGCTTGAAGCTGATCAAACTTTGGAGATGGCATATCATCCGATCTCCAACCCACTATCATATTCATGTGGTACGTACATGGACACAACTCTCGACTCTCTCTTTGCTATTTTGGGCGTGATGCTCCTCGTAAAAATCAAGGTCTCCCAAATCGACATGTATAACGACGATACCAATCCCGAATCTAATGTCAATACACTTTGTGGATGGATCTCCATGGAGAAAGCGATGCCTTGTGATGCTAGATTTTTTCTCTTATGTTGGGGCCTAAACCCCCAATTATGGTACAACTCGCTGGCCCCAAGGTTGACCCACAACTTGCAGCAACTGCGATTGGCATTCCTCATGCATTTCGTGGGATCGTAAGTTTGCATGATCCCAAAAGAGTCGATCACAAACTATCATCCAAGGAGCTGATAAAAGCTTGAAGGGCTATATCGCCAAGTTCAATACCCTGGTTCAAACGATGGACTCGTTTCATCCTAAGACTTTATTGGTCTCAACTTACATGGGACTACGACCTAAGTTGATGTTTCGGTGATCGCCTGGCCAATACAAGTCAACTACCTACCATGAACTCCTACAACATGTCCAACGACATATTATCGCATAGGAATCAGTGTCACTTCTTGTATTTGGAACTTCTCCCAAAGATCCATCCAATTTGAAAGATTCTCAGTCCACCGAACTTTAGAGGATCTAGACTCCCGGTTAACCCACTCAAGACCATCCGGGAACGACCGGAGGAGGCGAAGACCAATTACAAAAAGAATATACTCCATAGATGTCATTGCCATATTTGAAGAAATTAAAAATAAAGGCATGTTGTCTGACCCTCGACCGATCTCTTAAATGAGGCCACCTCGACATGTTGAAGTATTGTGTTTATCATAAAAGACATAGAAACGATACCGATTAGTGGCAGGACCTCATGCAGACTTACTTAAGGCGATCGACCATCCCTAGTTGAACCGCTTTACTACCCACTCACCACAACCCCCCGATCAATCGTACAAGAAGGCATTATGAAGATCTATCATCGGATGATGATGTACTCGCTGCAACCAAACATCTTGAATCCCCTCCTTGATAAGCCAATTGCTTAGCATCAATCTTGGGGATCGACTTAGGATATGACTTAATCGATTTCAGGCAGTCAACCTCGGCCTCTTCTTTTACCGACACAACCATCTCTCTCACGATATCTCTCTCTCTTTCTCTCTTTGCCCACTGCCCAACTCCTCGACTTCTTCTACAATAGGTAGTGTTAGGGGGAGATCACGCTGGGGGGACTCTTTTCTAGTTTGTTTAACTATTGTGGTCTCCCTGACACTTCAATCAATCAACTTCGAGCACCAAGACATGTGATCCATGTCCCTTGAGGGGCTCTCACTGTTGTCCCCGATTGGGCTTCTGCCCCCTGCTCCTTCATCTTCTTCTGCTTTTTTAACTTCTTGATCTGAGCTGTTGCTTTATATTGTTCAGATGACGAGGTGCTGATGTAGCGCAGCGTCGAACAAAAGGGAATAAAGAGATGAAATCTCCTAAACAATAATTTTATTTCACGATAAAACTGTTTTTCATAAGAGAGAAGAAGAGAATAAATAGTCTCCAAATCCTAGGTC